GAGGATCATAAACATAATACAGGGTACAAAACACAATCAAATGTGTCCATAGTAGGAAAATAACATGTAAAGGATTTGGGAACAAGATTAGTAGGAGCCGTTAAGAGGATTTCAACTCGCTCACTTGGCACTCCTAAGCAAATGCCCTAAACCATTACACCTCGACATGGTAAAAGTAATGCAACTTGGATTCTACTGAATCCTCTAGGGGTTTTGAGAGTTTCAACTTGAATTCAATTAGGGTTTCAAGAATTGCCTGCATGCACTCTGGCTTATTGTTCAGTATGGTGTAGTGATCTTCAGCATTTGCTTGGGAGTCCCAAGTGAGTTTGAATCCTCCTCCTTAAATAAGTTTTTGTATACAAACTTGCCTGTGTTACTTCAGTTAAGGCTCCAAACACTGCATTTACTTCATTTAGGAAGCCAGTTATAAAATCTGTTATGATACCCTGAATGTTTACAAATATGAATGATGTTACCATATTGTGTAGGTGATACTTATGTTATGATCTATGTTAACATCTGTGGCTCTGGTAGGGGATGCCACTGTGTTTATGTCCTATCTAACATTTGACTGAATAGGTGGTAGAAACGTGATATTTCTTGCCGTTCTTCTTCACTTCATCTTGCTAAAAAATATCCCTGGTACATTGAGGATATATTCACTCAATTTGCTAATTTCATAATGACTACTGTTGTTCATTTGGTATTATTTGTGTGGTTCTCCTGCTGACATGAGATTCTGGGCAGTCTCCATCATAACATTTATTTGTATTTGGTGAATTTTTGCACATGTCTGGGTGCAAAAAATTGCATTTTCTGGAACAAAATTTTCCAACATTTTCATTAATATTCGTACATTATTTTGTACATAGTACGTAGTACATATTTTGTACGTACATAGCTAATTTTGAATGACTATCTGCATATTCCATTAATTCTTCCTGATATCCCCGACAGGTTCAATACTCTTTACATATATCCCATGCATAATATTGCCAGATTTTTAGTTTGTGTTCTGCTTGTTTTTCTGTGTGTTCCTGTGCTGAATCTTTCTAATAGTAGAAGTACTCTTGGTACTTTTCTCTTTTGCTTGCAATAAAGGAATATCCTTAAAATTGTTAGGCTAGGGGTTAAGCTACAGCTTGTCAAAAAAGTTTCTCATTTTATCAAAACTTGCAGATCAAAGCCCAATCACTCACGACAAACCCAATTACTGCATTGCATGCCTAAACTTTGTTGGTTCACCACTTGCATCAGAACATTCATTCAAACACAGCATATAACCAACCTTATGAACAGTGAACTAACCTTATATTTTGAATAATTAGTCTGAATTTATTTGATCCCAGCAACCTCATAATTATAAAGCATATTCTAGGTCCACAATCTGAAGTCAAAACAGATTATATATATTGGGTCACAAGGTACCCAGCACATAAATCTCACTATAGGCTAATGCTGTGAATAGGTCATTCATCACTGAATAAAATATTATTCTGTACATTAAAGGTACGCCTAACCATTCAGGAACTTATTAAACACTAACCTCTATGTATTGCTTCCTCAGAGTAAGATGGTGAGCATCAGTTCAACGACAACAGCACGTGAGTGTGTGGCCCTTACTTTGGATCACCTAGAGATGGGTGGAGCAGACACCTCCCAGTTCCAGCTGTGGGTGAAGACTGGTCTTGATGACTCCCCCTACCCGCTCATTGGCCATGAGTATCCTTTCGCTATCAAGCTCAACTGTGTAAGAGATCTTCTGCAGGACTGTGATGCTGAGCAGTGTAATAACCTGTATAACACTGAGCTGGTCACTCGCTGTCAGTTCATCCTTCGACAGGCCCGGAAACTTTCCTTTGAATCTCCTGAAGGGGTGAAAAAGGTCTCCAAAAAGGCCCGCAAATCCCCCATCAGGATACACAGAGTGTTTAAGAGATCTAATAGCAAAGGGGAATGTCTGGATGGGAGTGTGACCTCATGTGCTGGTGCCCTGTATGGCCAATCCTTAATCAAGCTGGTGGAACCAGAGCACATGTTGCCGAAACCTGTCATGGTAAGTGTCTCAAATGATAATTATTTTATGTACAGGAGAATACAATCTTTATTAAATGTATTTTGTTTGGTTATATTCTGTCTCTTGTCATTGTATTTGTCTGTCTGTCTTTCAGTCTTTGCTTGTTTGCTTGCTCTTTCCCTCCCTCTCTCCCTTTTCCTGGAATTACTGAATATATTTTTTGGAAATTTTTTTTATGGAATAATAAGCTTTCTGTTATATTATATAGGACTTGCATTTTATTTAATTGAATTAACACTAACATAAAAATTTGAGCAATCCTATCGTAACCTAACCTACCTAACTCGATCTATTTTGTCATGTGTACCTTCTAGTGATTTACACAAGATAAGGTAGGAGAGGTCGAGTTAGGTTAGGTTACGTTATCCTAACCTACACTAATAAGTCAGTAATTCATGTTCTTAATATAATATACCGTAATAATTTGAATTCAAATAAACCAATTTTAGAGAAAATATTTGAAAATAATGAAAATCCCATTTCCTGTTATGCAAATCTGGCTTTGCATGCTAGGCTATGTAGTGTGTTCTGGCTATTTGCTATGGTTACCTTGATGTTTTCGGGGCTTAGTGTCCCTGCAGCTCGATCCTCGACCAGGTCTCCTCGTTGCTGGACTGATCAACCAGACTGTTGGATGCGGCTGCTTGCAGCCTGGCGTATGAGTGCCTGGTTGTGGCTGCTGTATATATATCTGCTAGAGATGCTATACCAGTGATGATACTTTTCAAGATGCTAGTGCTCTCTAGAGTGGAATTCTGTTGCACAATGACAGCACGTTTCAAAGCTGGAGAAATTGCTGACCTGGAGAGCGTGCAGAGAGCCTTTACTTCTTGAATCCACTCGGTAAAACATCTAAACTATTGAGACCCACTAAAATGACAATCTGTATTATCTCGAGCGCAGGTGGGAGAGATACATAATAATTTACACATGGAAAATATTAGAGGAGCTCGTCCCAAACCTGCACACAGAAATAACCACATGAGACAAGAAGGCATGGCAGGATGTGCAGAATACCCCCGTTGAAAAGCAGAGGTGCAATCGGTACTCTGAGAGAGAACTCAATCAACATCAGAGGCCCAAGACTGTTCAACACGCTTCCACCATACATAAGGGGCACATTGGTTTATTTGAATTCAAATTATTACAGTATATTATATTAAGAACATGAATTACTGACTTAATAGTGTTGGTTAGGAAAACATAACCTGATCTACCTAACTGCGACATATCCTACCTTATGTGTGTGTGTGTGTGTGTGTGACACACATACACACTGATGTATGTAATGATGAAAATTACATTTTTACATTAATGATGAAAATGATGTATGTAATAAATACACTTAGGTGTAATTACACACACACTTATTTACATACATACATCTGTGTGTATACTGTCTGTGAACAAGCATCTTCATTCAGTGTGAACCAACAATACTAGTTCTGCATATAATTTTAGCATCTTTTGTTTGATATAAATAAATGTGCTATATATTATATTTAATAATATAATAGTATTAAATATTTAGCCTTGCTAAATATCTCAGATTTTAATGAATATATTTTATGTGGTATATTAGTTAAACCATCTTATACCTGTCTAAAATTACATTTCCTTTCTCAGGACATGCTGTTGCAGTTGTTCATGAAAGGACCCTTCACAGTGGGGATCTTCCGCAAGTCTGCTAATGCAAGGCTAGTGCGGGAGTTGCGGGAAAAACTTGACACAAGTGATGCAGATGGTGCGATTGACCTGGACAACGTGCACATCACTGCTGTTGCAGCCCTTCTCAAAGATTTTCTTCGCTCCATGCCTGACTGCTTGCTAGTTGCTGACCTGTATGAGGAGTGGCTGGAGTTGTCACAAATTGATGGCATAAGAGAGCGTATTTCAAGAACACTTCTTCTGTGTTCTCGAATGCCCCGTGCACACCTCATCCTTCTTCAGCATTTCCTGTGTGTACTGCATCATATTGCTCGACGTGCTTCTGAAAACATGATGTCCGCATCTAACCTAGCTGTATGTGTTGGGCCGTCCATTTTGTGGCCATCTTCCCCAGTGTTAGCACTTAGTCCAGAAGCCTCAAAACAAGTGCCTGCTATAGTGGAGTTTCTCATTGAGAGATGTGGGGATATATTTGGCCAAGATATACTTCATTTATTAGGTAATCCTCCAGAGCGTGACCCCATGAGGCAAGACAGTGGAGCAGAAGAGTCAGACAGCCTACACAGTCTTCACAGTGGTCACAGTCTACACAGTTCTAGCGGGATGAGAAGGGATGATAGTAGCATCGATTCCTTGGAACGAGAACTGCTCGTGGAAGGTGAACTGTCTCCACTGCCTCGGAAGGACAAGATGTCTCTGACAAATTTGAGCCGTGACTCTGGTCTCACCATGAGTGACTCTCAGCTGTATACACCTGATGAAGAAGAGAGTGAGTCAACCAGCTCTGGCCACTCTGGGGCTGACAAGAGTGTTAGCAATTATAGCAGTGGTGGCCATTCAGAACGTTCTGGAGATCGTTTCCAGCATTATGCAGCCCCAAATAATCCTAATGCAATATATGCAGCTGTATATCGTCGACCTGAAAAGGTTCCAATGGGATATGATGACCCAGAAAATTATTATGCAGCACCCAGTAGAGAACATGCTCGAATACAAATCACATACTCTACACCTGGATATTCCCAGGGTCCTCCTCCAGGCCAAGGAAAGGAATACACCAGAGTTTACCATAGTCGCCAAGACAGAATGAGTGATGTCTATCGGAAAGGTCAAGACGAAGAGGCCATATATAGCGTGCCAGCTGGATCATCAGGCAACATTGTTAACCCCCCTCCATTTGTTGTAAACTCTAACTTCCAGCGACATGACTGGATGCGGCGGCGCTCAAATCTTCGAAAAGTATCTCGCTCAAGCAGTGGTGATGGAGGTCTGGTAAGATCCACATCAGAAGAGAGTCTTCTTAATAAATATAATGGTCTTGATTATGGTATTTCCCTGGGCCCAGTCAACATCGATGACAAGCGACCGGCACAACACGCAAAAGGACGTGCCCCTCCACCGCCACCAGGTGAGGAAAATGAAAACTGTTCTGGCCCTGGAGGTAGAGAGTCTCCAATCCGGAGGTCTAAGTCAGCCCACTATTTAACAGAGCCACCTCGTGATGTTGATAAATTAGGTCACTCTCCCGACAACACTCCGGCTGTATCTCGATCATCATCCCATGATGCTGTTTCATGGCAGCGCTCCCGCTCCACACCCCAAATACATGATGAGGCCGATCGATCTTATGATTCATCCACTTTGAGTGATGATGATTCAACACCACATGTTTCACGGTCTAATTCCAGAGGAAAAGAATATGGTGGTGGTGGTCTTAATGCCTGGGAAGCAGTTTATGGTACAGAGAACACTCCCTCTGACTCCGGTGAATCACACAACTCTCGAAATTCCTCCTTCAAGAGCGAACGGACAGGAAGCATGTGTACAGTGGTATCTGCAGGTAGCACATCAACCCTTGCATCAAATCCTCCATCCTATGAAGAAGCTCTCAATAGACGTTCACTCATGTACAGAGGTGGACAACAGCAGGGGCACCAATCCCAAGGATCTCCTTCTGGAAGAGATGCACACTTTGCTGAATTTGCCATAAGAGAAGAAAAAATGAAATCTGCAAGAGCCAAACAATTGTATGAAGAATCATTGAGAATATATCAAGAGGAAAACACTTACCCAGGTGATCTGGTACGTGCTTCCCCAGCACAAGCTGAAGACAGTGATGAGTATGAACGGCCACCGCCCTTGCCACCCAAGTCTGAGCCACCTCCCCTGCCTCCCAAGCAACGTGGGAGCCGTAGGGTGAGTGATGGTCTGGGTCGCCTCAAGCACCTTCCACCCGTACATGTGGAAACCCATGCTCGAAAGTCCCGCTCAGTCACCTCCCTCCCAACCTCCTATGGGTGCGATCCACCTTATCACAAAACTATTATATACACAGATGACAGTCCCCCATCACTACCACCCAAGGAACGTACAGTAATTGAAATTGATTCAGCATACTCTCAGTATCCAGAGTCTAGAGTAAAACAGACCACAAGTAGAGCTGTGTCACCACCCAGGGTAGAAAAAAAGAGTATAGAGACTCAGACAGATGATTATGACCTTGACGATGAGGTGAAAGATGAGGGCATTCAGACATCAGGGACATGGGCAGTGGAATCTCACGTGACGTCAGTATCTGTCCCCGACCCCAACTCCCATAATGACAAACGTAGAGGGAGAACACGTAGACGAGACTCTTCAGCATCCCACCGTAGCAAAAGCGTCCCTACTCGAGAGACAGGCCCTACTCAGCATCCTGACTCTGATGATGATCAAGAGGAGGAAGAGTGGGGCTATCACCCCACACCATCCTTGCAGGATTTTCCAGGTCCTCCCGTGCATCGTGACATAAACCCATTTGACACTGATCTTAGGCAAGAAATAAGTTGGTCAGTATCACAGCTTCGCGCAATATTTGGTGAAACTCTAACAGGAGCTAAAATTCACCCACCCCCATATAGGCCACCGCCGCCTTCTACTCACCGTGCACCCATCACCTCATATCACCTAGGAGCTGGTGACTCTTTTACCTCTCGAAAGTCACGTCCTCAGTCTAACTATGGCGAGGAGTCATATGTATAGCATACAGGACATCTCGGTCTTACTTCGCCCACCGCGCTTATTACACTTAGCGGCCACGCTGTGCTGCATACACCGCCACAACTAACACTAGCCGACTCTCTGTTAGATTATTTCTCTAACGTACTAAATGCTCAAGATCATAAGGCTTTTGTATGTATAGTATTTGTATTATATTATGTATATTTTGTACAGAGTTACACTCTAAGTCATACAAATAAGGACCTCAAATATTAACTGTTATCAAATATGTGGGTGGTGGGGGTGCTGCAGGGGAGCCTCCCCCTACCCCCTCAACCCCGCCCACCTCACATCACCAAACTTTTGTAAATTACTATTACTAACTATATAATAATTGTTTATATGTTGTTAATAAAATTTGAGATTTTTATATTAATATTTTAACTCTGTATCCTTATAAAAGCTTTTAATAATTTGTTTGATGCAGGCCAATATTTAGTAAAAATTACTGATGCAGTTCCATGAAAGTTTTATCTAATTTATATATGAAACTAAACCTCTGTTATTAATAACAGTTAGCTCTGAATGACCAAATGTCCAAGCACTGAGATCGCAACCTAAATACTAAAATATCAGTATGAAATGGTTCCTAAATATGCAACACATTGTGTTTTGCATTGAAAATAGTTTAAATTAGCCATTTTATTTATTAAGACATATTAATAAGAGCCATCTTAAAAAGCCATGTTGAAATGATCCCCTTGTCCTGAACACTTTTTCACCTTTACTCTCTTGTGTGTTGGAAGCCATTTCCTGTGGATTCTTGTGAAATTGTCTAAGAATCTCGTACATGTACGCGTCATATGTTTGAAATTTAAATACTCATCCTCACTAACCTAATGTTATTTTGTTTCGTTTCCAATAACTTTAAATTAGGCCGGTAAGGATGTGGTATTTGGATTACCTATTTCTAGACTACAAGAAGTTTTTTAATAGTTCTCCATTTGGAGGGTATTGTACTAAATATTGGAATACCGAATAAGGCAGTCGTCACAATTAGGATGGTTTTGATATAGTAATGGAAAGTCCTACAAGAGTCGGTCCTTGTATCCACTCTGTTTCAGATGTCTGTGAAGACGGGCCTTTTTATCAGTCTGCATAAGACTCAAAATTGATAAGGCAAAAGAGGATTACAAGAAACTGCAGGAAGAATTGGAAAAGTTATAGTAAATATTAATTTCAGAGTAATTTCAGGTTTCGATGGTTGAATTGGCAAACATCGTCTAAATTGCACACAAATAGGATAACTGGCAAATTTTAAGAATTTATTGTATTTTTATTAACATACTTTTATATTGCATTTTTACACCCTGGAATATAAAGGATTAAAAGTTTGTGTGCCAATAAAATTATCATCTTACAGAAACGTTTAATGTCAAATAGGGACAGGAGATCAGTTGTCTTATGAGGATGTTCTCGAGAACACAAGTGGATAAAGTACAGGTCAGGACAAGTTCAATATAAACACACACCTGGGAGCAAACTGGTGCAGCAATGAAACTCCCAGTCAATAGATTTCAGAGTAACCTCATTTATCTTTGTCAACATACAAGGACTAAAAACAAAGTACCTTTCATAAATGGCCTCCACACTGAGGCAGGTGCAGTATTTGGAGCATTCACAAAAACGCATATGAGAGATTACATGGAAAGTGAGATTTGTATACAAAAATATAATTCATGTAGATATGATGAGTAAATAGATCACGTGGAGGAGTAAACTAAACATATATATATATATATATATATATATATATATATATATATATATATATATATATATATATATATATATATATATATATATATATATATATATATATATATATATATATATATATATATATATATATATATATATTATATACATATTATATATATATATATATATATATATATATATATATATATATATATATATATATATATATATATATATATATATATATATATATATTGGTGTATACTGGCAGCAGGTTTTCTTTCAAACATGTTTCATTGAATATGACCGCATATTCTGTATTTATTATTTTCTGGTTTAGGGCTTCTATCCCTCTAACTATTTTCTTAGCATCAGGGCTTAATTGAAATAGGAGTTCTCCAAAACTCATTTTCGTACTTTTAAGGTGAAGAAAAGAAGTGATTTACTATAGAGTGTATTACACTTATTTGTATAATTTGCACGACGTTTCGAACCTCCATGGTTCATTCTCAAGTGAACAGATCTTACAATACTAGTTGATTTTATACCCGCATTAGGTCAGGTGATAATACAATGAAGGTGAAAACATGGGGGGATACATAAGGGATAAACATAGGGGCTGCAGAAGGCTTATTGGCCCATACGAGTGTTTAGATAGGAGATGCCTATCTTTGTGTTTAGATAGGAGATGCCTCGTATGGGCCAATAAGCCTTCTGCAGCCCCTATGTTTATCCCTTATGTATCCCCCCATGTTTTCACCTTCATTGTATTATCACCTGACCTAATGCGGGTATAAAATCAACTAGTATTGTAAGATCTGTTCACTTGAGAATGAACCATGGAGGTTCGAAACGTCGTGCAAATTATACAAATAAGTGTAATACACTCTATAGTAAATCACTTCTTTTCTTCACCTTAAAAGTACGAAAATGAGTTTTGGAGAACTCCTATTTCAATTAAGCCCTGATGCTAAGAAAATAGTTAGAGGGATAGAAGCCCTAAACCAGAAAATAATAAATACAGAATATGCGGTCATATTCAATGAAACATATATATATATATATATATATATATATATATATATATATATATATAATATATATATATATATATATATATATATATATATATATATATATATATATATATATATATATATATATATATATATATATATGACCGAAAAAGTAAGATTAATAATTCTAACGCGAATTTTCTCAATGTTTCTTATATTTTTCTTCACTGTTGATGGTAACTGAAAAATCAATTCTCCAAAATTCATTCTGTGGCCACGTCTGTGGTAGAAAATAATAATAATAATAATAATAATAATAATAAAAAAAATGTTCCAGGTTCCAGAACAACCTCTTATGTGGAACTTCGTTGAAAGCCTTTTTTAGGTCCAGATAGATGCAGTCAACCCAATCATCTCTTTCCTGTAAAATCTCTGTGGCTCGATCATAGAAACTGAGTAAGTTCGTTACACAGGATCTTCCAGATCGAAAACCATACTGTCTGTCTGATATTATATCACTTTTCTCCAGGTGTTCTACCTATTTAGTTTTAATTATTGTTTCCAATATTTTGACTATGACACTTGTCAATGATACAGGTCTATAATTAAGGGGGTCTTCCCTGCTGCCACTTTTGTAGATTGGAACTGTTAGCCTTTTTCCATACATCAGCTACAACTCCTGTAAACAGGGATGCCTGAAAAATAATTTGAAGTGGAATGCTGAGCTCATGTGCACATTCTCCCAGAACCCATGGTGAAACTTCATCTAGACCAACTGCTTTGTTCTTAGCTCCGTGAAAATTTTTTCCACTTCGTCTCTAGACGCCTCTATGTGCTTTATGTTGTTCTCTGGTATTATTATTGTGTCTAGTTCCCTGAAGATTTCATTTTGTACAAACACACTTTGGAACTTTTAGTTTAATGATTCACACATTTCCTTTTCATTTTCCGTGAATCTATTTCCCATTTTCAACCCTCTGAATATTATCCTTTACCTGCAATTTGTTGTTTATGAATTTATAGAATAGACCTGGTTCTGTTTTACATTTATCTGCAATCCCTTTTTCAAAATTTCTTTCTGCCTCTTTCCTCACTGCCGTGTAGTTGTTTCTTGCATCTTTGTATCGCTGGTATGTTTGGGGATTTGGCCTCTTCCTGTATTGATTCCATTTTTGTGTCTTTTGGTCTCTGGCCCTCTCGCACTTTCTGTTGAACCAATCCTGTTTCCTAGTTCTGCTTCTCTGTTTTGGTATAAATTTTTTGTGCCTTTTATCATATATTTCACCAAACTTGACATATATCTCATTTACTTCCTTGCCTAGCAACAACTCTGTCCAATTATACTCACTAAAAAAAATTCTAAGATCGCCATAATGTCCTCTCCTGAATTCAGGTTTTTCAACTGCTTCAACCTCCTTAATTTCTTCCAGATTATAACGCATTGCATACTTTATGCAATGCGTTATAATCTGGAGTGTTACTGTGTTTTTCAAGCCTTGTTCATTACTCAAGTGTTTATCATGTTGATTAGTTGCTGCTCTACAGAATGTTTTAACACTAATTTTGTTGAAGTGCCAATAAAATAAATCTATCTTTAATATTATCGACCATTTCCTGCGAGTGGCTGTCGTAGGGACCCAGATCCAGGGTGCTCAGGGGCACTTAATGCTTTTAAGACGGCCCTGCCAGCTCGACAAAATCATCCGGACAAATGAAGGGACCTTTGACAAGCCGCCGGCTTCTTGTCCTCGTCGAGGCCACTAGTGTTAATGGCTCTCATTTAAATATATAGGGAAATTATTTTTACTTAATTTAGTTTTAATACAAAATAATTGATATTTTGTGTCCCATATAATCCTTTTGGAAAGTGGCGTTCCAGAAGAATCATAAGAGACACAAAATATCTTAATTTATTTTATCAGAACTAGATTAAGTAGAATTAGCCACCGTTGATGGTAACAATCAAATAATAATCAGAGTAGTTAACAGATGGGATATATTAGGCAATGATGTGGTGGGGGCAGACTCCATATACAGTTTCAAATGTGGATATGATAGAATCAAGAACCTGTACATATATTTATTTATTTATTTATTTATTTATTTATTTATTTATTTATATATACAGGACAATACATTGGGTTCATGAGAGTACAGAGACTTGGTTTCTTTTTTTGCATTCAGATTCAGATGTTTATTCAGATGTTTATTCAGGTAAGGTATATACATACAAGTGATGTTACATTAATGGATTGATATATAGATAGAGCTAGTACATACAATGCCTAAAGCCACTATTACGCAATGCGTTTCGGGCAATATCTCAGAACAATGCTTATTTCACGTAAATTCATTAATAAACACATATGTTTTATATGTCTCAAGAAAGATAGAAATATAAGCTTCATTTTAAATACTTTAACATAGACATATATAAAGCTCAAGTGAAGATACATACGTTTTTATAGTGGCATTCAGTAGCTTGTCGGTCATGGAATGCAGAAGCCTACGCACTTGCCAATATAGTGTGTAATTAACAAAGATACGCTTATAAAGCCTAAAATATTATATGCCTTCAGAAAGACAGAGATATGCTCGTTATTGTGAGTGCACCAAAGGAAATATATCTTGTTGGAGGACAAAGATATATCAA